TCACCATGAAATCCTTTTCTCTTTTTCACATTTCACCCTTTTCTGCTCAATCCAGCCACAGGGGCTTGTGGGTGTGGTTGTCACGAAACATCTACTTCTCAACTGCAGTAGCGGATTTGTTCAACCAGTGCGTACGAGTGCAGTGCACTCCAGTTATCCCAGTTATCACTGGTCTACTCATGAGCGGATTTTGGCAAAGCTTCAACCCTTTTGCGAAGTGGTGGGAACTTCTACCTATAAACGGAGCATCCGAAACGCCAGGGTATGCTGGCCACACAGCAGGTTATCCCGTGTAGATTGGCTTTAGGACAGCAGGCTGCCGATATCCTACATACAGCTATAGGGTGTAGTCTCTTGAGCAAAGAAGATCCATTCATTCTGATACCTCGTGGCTGATAATGACAAGGAGATGTATCGCAATGCAGATGTACTTCCGGCTTCGATCGGTTTGTGGCTCAGTAGAGGTTCTTGAGTCAGGCGTGAAAAACATGGCTCTTTTCTTTTCTCACTTTGAACTCGAAGAAGGCGACTAGGGTGGGCATGATTCGGGTATAAGTTACTACACGTTGTGCCCTATCCCCAGCCTATTAGAATTTGCTGAAGGAGCTTGTGGCATGAGATCCAAAGAAATGCGCACGAACTTTTGAGACTACCTGATATTAAAAATTATTGAAAAAGGCGCGGTTCCACGTGGCAGGCACGCGAAAAATCGCATTGTTGCCAAAGTTTTGATTTTGTTCAGGTGGCCACTGAAGGAAATACTTCCGCTGTCCGTTTCGCTAAGTGTCAATGGAGAGAAATTGCAATCTATGTTCCAAGGTGAATGTTTGAAATTCTGGAGGCAGGTAATAGCTCGGAACATGAATGTTGCCATGTCAAAATATTACGCACTACAAGAACATACAGTCCATATCTCGAGCGAGTCTACTGATTTGACGTAGCCGTAGCCGCACTTGATATAAGTCATGTGTATAAGCTGATTCTAACGTTCTCTGTCGGATGCGCAGCATAGGAAGCCAGACATAATAACACTTTGACACATGGACTGTACTGGCGGTGATCAAGTCTTTTCGGTGTTTCTTGCAGTTCAAGTTTCCAATTCGCTTACGAGTGGTACTGGGTAACTTTCACCGCATCGCACAGAGTCAAGCTTTTGGCTCGTTAAGAACTAGAGCTTCTTTGCCTCGGCCTTACATGGATGGGAACGACAATGTTGTCATGTTTTTGGAATTGTGACTGCATTACACACTGGTGAAGTTTGCGGGATGGACGATGGCAAGCGCTACCCATTGCCAGTTACTCCACACTGTTGCAAAAAACATAATTTGAAGCGGCGACAAGTCAGTCCTGCTCCACGACAGCGCGTGTCCACACATTTCTGCGGGCTAGCCTAGCGCTAGCCCGCAGAAATGTGTGGACACGTGCCGTCGTGGAGAAGACACGCGATTCTCTTCTAGGCTTGTCACAGGCGGCCAGTCCACCATAATCGCCAGTTCTGTCCCCACACGAAGTTACCCCATAATAGTTAACCATTTTGCATTTATTGCTGAAAGAACTCCTAGGAAAATGTGAAGGCGTGAAAAAAATTGACGGAGTACATTGCCCTCACATTGGCTTTTCTGAACAGTTAGTCAGTCCATCTACGCGACGCTACTACTTTGCACACTCCCTCTGTCCTGCACCAGCGGTTCATTCTATTTCGGATTACCTTTTTTATTTAAAAGTGATAGACACTCAAAACCTGACTGGAGATCTCAACGCTCTATCCGGAGCCTTTGAGAACGGATCTAGACTTCATTATTTGCCGGAGCGATTTCGATGCAAGAGGACGGCACTGAGACACCTCTTCAAATTTG